GGGGGGAAAATTCTCACTTTCTGTCTCTCTGTCTCTCTGGTGAGTACACACACCCTATTGCAAAAATCTCTCTTGAAAAAAAGAAGAAAGAGAGATAAAGAGAAAGAAAGGAAAGAAGGAGAGAGAAAGAAAGAAAGAAAGAAAGAAAGAAAGAAAGAAAGAAAGAAAGAAAGAAAGAAAGGAGAGAAGAAAGAAAGGAGAGAAGAAAGAAAGGAGAGAAGAAAGAGGGAAAAAAAGGAAAATTTTAAGTGACCAGCAGCCTGCAGTACTTCTTCACCCAGGCCAGCAGGGGGCACTCCCACAAGATTGCTGGGATAGTTCAGTGGACAGATAATGGTGGGGCAGCTTGCTTTTCCAGACTGAAGCAGGGTCCTAGATCGCCAGCAAAGTGGACTTTTTGTTCCCAGGTCCTCTTACTTCCCGTCCTGTGCTTCTCACAGCATCAGCATCAAAGAGAACCCAGTAGCCTGGGCCATGGTGGTACTTCTCAGAGGGGTGCTACTGGCGCCCCAGTGGGACAGTTCTTCAATCAGCCGGACAGCCTCACACACGACCGAACTTTTCGCATCCTGAGCTTCTGCTTGCTAAAGGCCAGAAGTGCCCCCCACGCCTCGTCATTGTGACAACTGAAATGCCCCCACCCACAGTTTCAAAGTCTCCCTGCCAAGGGATGGAGTTGCACAGGTAAGAACCAGGTGTGCAAAGAAAAGGGAAGATTCCCAGGCTTCTCCTCCCCACTCACCCCTGCAAAGCAGCAACCATGATAAGGTTTAATGTCCAGTTGAGAGGATGCTGGAGTTCAGCCAAGGGAAAACGTCACAGCGGCTTAGGTGACCTAGACGGTTCCCCAAGTCTGTTGTGGTCTGTGGACGGTGACAGGCTCACATGTCAGGAGAAATGTATCTGGGGGGAAGATACTCTCTCCATGCAAGATGAGTGCTAGAATTGACAAGATACCTTAGCATGGCCCTCACCCCTGCAACTAAGCTTTGCAATCGGAGCCTGGTCCCTCTGATGTCCCTTTGACCTCTCCTCCCCCCAGTGCATCAGCACTGCCCTCAGCCGTCTCTGCCTTGCTTTGGTTGGTGTAAGGGACTTCCTTTCCCGGTGCTGCCATAGCAACCAGAAAACAACCTCTGCTCACAATGAGGAGGATGGTGCTGTGGCCCAGATCTGCAGATGCACGCGGCGGTAACAGAGCAACCGGGGCCGAGGGACAACAAGGGCTCTGGTGAAGAAGAGAGAGGCTGCCCAGTGAGGAGACAATCCCGGGCCTGAGGAAGCTCGATATGCAGTTTATTTTTCCTCCCGACAAAGACACGCACTGTCTCAGCTGAGTGGCTGGTTGTTATTAAGACGCTGCTGTAAGAGGGGAAAACGTATTTCATAAAAGGCCCAGTGTTCGTGGTCTTCTTGGACTTGCTGCTGAGCTTTGGAAATCTTGAGGTGTGACCAGTTTTCAGCCTTCCAAACCAAGATGAACTGCCCTTGAGAAGGGGTGGTCGGAGGGGGGAAATATGTTCACGCTCTCGCTCCTGAGCCGGGGACACGGGAAGTTGGTCCAGAGCAAACAGAAGTTAGAAGTCTACTTTGAACCAGAGGTGAGTCTTAACAGCTAAAGAAAGGCACATCAGGGCGGGGTATGCTCTGGGTTTTCACTTGGGGTAAATAACAAGTGTTTTGGTTTGTGCTGGTAATGCCCCTCACCACCCCACCCCTCCATGAAACCCAAGGGAATAATGTAGTTCACCTAACACCCCCAGAGTGCCACTGGGGTCCTCTTCCTTCTCATTGCACCCCACTTTACAGCCTTCTTTCCTTGAGACCCAAAGAGATTCCGAATTGTCTGCAATTCAGATGGTTTGGTTCAAGACCAGAATTTCCACCTGGGTTCTAGACAAGCTAAGGGTTGTTTGGTTTTTAGAAGTCATGCTCTGCGGTTGAAATGCCGTGTGTGTTCGTGCCATTTCAGTGGCTTCCTTGAACTCTCTGGAATTCAACCCACAGGACTCATATTCAACGTAGGCCAAGAGAAAATTTTCGTTTTAGATTTTAAAGAGGTGGTAAAGTTCCCTTGTTAGACTGGAATTTTATTTCATAGACTACTGCCAAGAATCAGAACTCCATTGGGGGTACTTGGCGAATTTTGGGGGTCTTACAGAGATTTTCATGGTCATAGCAGTTTGTCAAGATATTTGACCTTTGCTGTGTTAAAAGACATAAAGTTTCAAAGGACCTCTATGGCAAATGGCATTGGTGTACTTGCAAGATAGAACCATTTTATAGGCTTCTAAGTAGCCAAATTAGGTAATGCTACCTAGCATCTGGCATGTATAGTAATCCTCTCTGTGTCCAGCGGAAGTGGGTCAGAATGGACTTCTCCTATTTAAACTGCCAGTTAGTCCAGGTGTCATTTCAAAGTTATTCACTGCTCTTGATCATTCTTACTGCTTCGTACATCTGGGAAACTAACTGGTCTGTAACCTGCACTCTACCCCAGCGAAGCCTCCTGTTGTGAATGGCTGTCCTGAATGTTGTACGGGGTGAAATGGAACCATACCTTGATTTCTCCTATTGGGTTGTTGGAAAAGTCATGGTGTATTTTTTTCTATGTTTTTTCTATGCAAAAAAATGTGTCATGACTTTTCTGACTACTCCATAGTTTGGAGATGTAGATGAGAAAAGAATATCAGTTGCTAAGAAAAGTCGTCGTGTCCCATAACACCGGGCGAACAACCCGTAGACTGTGCCCAAGGAGATGAAGTTGGAGGAAGGTTTTCCGCAGTAGCTCCGTCAAGGTGGTATCTTTTCCCGGCAGGATTACTTGAACTGGAAGTCCCCAGAAGACTACATCCTGGTCAACAAACCTCAGGGTGAGGACGGTACCCACCAGCCCTCCTGGAACCTCTTCCTTCCTAAAACGTTCAGCACTAGAAAGGGCGCCCTGATCCTCTACTCAGAAGGTTTAGCCTTATCAGCATGGACACCCGAAGAAAGGAGAAAAGTCCCCTACCACCCCAAAAGCTACAGGAAGAGGCTGGATCTTGAACTGCACACTCTTCAAGATCTCAAAGAAGCTATCCTAGTGTACGGCAGCAAGCAGGTAGGTGGAACAGCCCCTGGCCTGGGTATCTACAAATCTAGTGGCAGCTGTGGGTATGATTTCTCAGACCCTTGGAAAGGCATAAAACCCTCAGACCTGGGACCAGTAGTTAGCGTAATGGCTATGTCTCTGGATTCCCATGTAGTCGACTGCAGTTCAAGTCCTGGACCCGGCGGCTTAAAACTCACGCCGGCCGCGTGGGCGTGTGTGCCCAAGATCCCGAGAGGAGACTGGAGGGGAAGGGATTGCGGCGCCTAGGGGGCGATTTCTCGCTTTCTGTCTCTCTGTCTCTCTCTGTCTTTCTAGGGAGCACACGCCCTATAGCAAAAAACCTCTCCAAAAAAAAGAAAAAAAAAAACCCTCAGACTTCATTTCTTCCTCTCTAAAATGAGGTTGTTCTCTTGGCCTAACCACCACAAGCAGTTGTCACAAGGTTTAAATGAGATGATGTATGCAAAAAGGCTGTGAAAAGCATGAAGCTATATTAGCATTATCGTTTTGTGTTTTCCTCTCAGTTTCAGTAACACAGTCTTTTTCAGCATTCAGACAGATTCGGGACAGCAGACGTTTCATAAGAATTCTTGAAATTCTGTCTCATAGCCACAAGCATCATCATCCCACCTCTGATGTTCTTGGCTTTGTGGAAATGAGAGAGAGAACATTTTAAATATTTACCTTGAGCCCTTGAGCTTTTGCAGGATAAGTTAATGACTTTCCATTCTGAATTTAATATTAAGGGGAAACCCCTGCGCTCGCTTTTCTGATCCATAGTTTCTAATGTCTTCTGAGATGTGCACAGGCCTCCGCTTTATGTAACTGCACGCACCTGCCCTTTGGCGGGGCCGTAAGGCAGTCTGGGAAGATGTGTCACTTTAGAAATTCTGGGCTAGAGATGGCAGTAGTTCAAAACGGCAGTCTCCGAGACTAGCAGATGGCGTAATGGTTACGTCACTGGACTCCCACGTGGTCAACCACGGTTTGAGTTCCAGATCCAGCTGCTTAAAACTCTCTCCAGGCACATGTGCATGCATGCCCGAGATCCGGAGGAGGAAGGATTGCAGCAAGCATGCGTGCCCAAGATCCGGAGAAAGGATTGCAGTGAGGCCATCCCCCCTGGAAGGGTGATTTACCGCTTTCTGCCTCTGTCTCTCTCCTTCTCTGCAGCAAGCACATGCAAAAATCTCTCTAAAAAACAAACAAACAAACAAAACCAGCAGTCTTCAATTTCCTGGTGCCAGAGACTGGCCTTTTGGAAGACAATCCCTTCATGGAGGGAAGAGGAGGGCAGTTGGTCCTGGGACACCCCAATAACACCATGTCCATCATGCACCCCATTTCCACCATCACCACATTGCAATGCACAATGAAACAATCATACAACAACAAAGTTCATGGTCCCATGAGACTCCAGCACGGCTGCTGATCTGACAGGAGGCAGAGCGCAAGTGGCAGTGAAAGTCGTGGGGAGCAGCTGCAAACACGGACCACTTGCCCACCGCCCACCACCCACTCCCTCACCATGGACTGGCACTGATCCAGTCTGGTCCCCAATGGGCCACAAGCTGCCACCAGTCCACAGCTCAGGATCTGGGGCCCCTGCTTTAAAAGTGTGTTGACCGGGACCAGCAGATGGCATAAAGATTATGTTGCTGGACTCCCACATAGTCAACCACAGTTCAGGTCCCAGACCCGGCAGCTTAAAACTCATACTGGATGCGTGTGCATGTGTGCCCATCCAACATCCCAAGAGGAGAATAAAGGAGACGGGATTGTGGTGTGGCCATCTCCCCTGGGGGGGGTGATTTTTCACTCTCTGGCTCTCTAGGAAGCACACACCCCTTATAGCAAAAATTTCTCAAAATGAAATAAAATAATAAAGTCCTGTTGACTTCTCCTTCCCCCACAGGATAAAGTCATTAGCTTCTCACACCAGGCCCTTCATGCTGGCTTTCTCCTCCACGTCCAGCCACATCACCCACTTGTTCCTGCTGCCACCTCAACTGGAACTAGCTTGCCATTCCCCACCACTCTGTGACCCTTCATGACCCTTTTGCACATACTTCTACAGCTGGCAAACTCATACCCATCCTTCAGAATCCAACCAAAATATCTCCTCACTGAAGCCTTCTTCCACTTACCTAGACAGAGCTAGCCCATGGCTCTCTCCTTTGCAAATATTCCCATATCATTATGCACTGAGATTTATCTCTGGCCATCTGTCATCCCTGATGGAGTAACATTTTCTTTCTTTTTTTTTTTTTTTTTGGAGAGGTTTTTGCTATAGGGCACGTGCACTCACCAGAAAGACAGAGAGAGAGACAGAGAGACAGAAAGTGAGAAATCACTCCCTAGGGGGATGGCCATGCCACAATCCCTTCTTCTCCATTCTCCTCTCCGGATCTTGGGCATGCACCACATGTACCCGGCATGAGTTTAAGCCACTGGGTCCAGGACTCCAACCACAGTTGACTACATGAGAGTCCAGCAACATAGCCATTACACCAACTGCTGGTCCCTGGAATAACATTTTCTCCAGGGCAGGAGACATGTCTAAACCATTTCCAGAAACTAATGAATACCCGTAAATATTTATGGAATGAATGAATGAGTCACGCTTGATATTTTCAATGTTTCTTAGATCATCTCCTAATATCATCATTGGGCAATTTATCACCCACCTCCACCCTAGGCAGAGCTTCCAAAAGGAGAGATTTCTCTGCCTCCTTCCCATCTTTCAAAATACAGTGGTTTGAGGACCTAGACCAAATGCCCAATTGTCCTTTGTCTTAAAATCATAAATTCTTGTATGAAAGGAAGCAGATTGTTGTCAAAAGCTTGCTTTTTAACTATTATCTTAATCATCGCAGGGATTCTGTGAAATATGGTTTTTTCCTACCCCACTCCCACCTTTTTGTTGTTTTTTTTTAGATCTTTGCCATAGGGCTAGAGTACTCACTGAAAAGAGACAGAGCAAGGCAGAGAGAGAGGGAAAGTGAGAAATCACTCCCCAGGGGGGATGGCCACACCACAATCTCTTCTCCGTTCTCCCCTTGGGATTTTGTTCATGTACACGCAGACATCCAGCATGTTTTCTAAGCCGCCAGGTCTGGGACTCGAACTGTGGAGTTGGCCATGTGGGATCCAGTACCTTAACCACCATCCCACTTGTTGGCCCTCTTGCCTCCTCTTATAGATAAGTGAACTAGAGCTCAAGGGAGTTAAATGATTTGTCCAAGCCAGAGAACTAGGAAATGACAGTCAGGATCCAAACCCAAAGCTGTCCTCCTCCTCCAAGGCCAGCATGCCCTACTGTCCATGGTATCTGAAGAGACTCCTGAGGTCACTGTGACTGGCCTTGGCCCATCTGCCCTCAGATTCCCTCTGTACCCTGTCCTACTCTGCTCTGCGTCACATCGGGGCGGGCCACACGCAGCATACAATTCCACAAGCATCTGTGTCCACTGGCTTCCGATTGAACTTCAGTGGGTGCCGTTGGGAGCAAACTGAAGAAGAAAGGGAAACTGGGGCGTTTCTCCTCTCCCTCTCTGCCTTGGGAGACAAGAAGCATCTGCATCACCTTTATGGTCCAGCTCCCAACAGAGAGGCAGGTGTGGGTGTGCCCATGTCCAGGTTTTGGCAGGATGGAGAAATGGAGGAAAAAGACTTACAGTGTGACCACAGGAGTTCTCCCCTTCCCCCTGTCCCCTGAGAGTGCAAATGGCCTCTGGCAAGAAAAAAAAAATAAAAACAAATCAGAAAGGAAAGTTTGGGATAGTAAGAGGGCAGGATATAGCCGATCCAAAGGGGAGGAGGGACCTACAGTGCCCAGCAGCAGAGAGTGATGCTCTATGAGGCGATACCACATGGAAAGGTTTCCAGTTCAAATCCAGAGACCTCCCTGAGAGCACTGGTCACACGTGTGCCCGTGATCCAAGATAGCTGAAGGCTGAGGGTGGGTAGTGGTGTCGGGCACCTGTTGGGTGTACTCTCCCACTCAGAGAAGAAATAGATAAACTTTTTTAAAAAACGGAAGGAGAAGCAACTCAAAAGAGATTCGGGATCAAAGAAAGCAAACACGTCAGAAGAGTAGAGCTTTGGAAAATGGATGAGGAAAACTACAGAAAGGCAAGAAACTGAAACCATAATACCCAGTGTTGGGAAGGCCATGGAGAAAAACAGTCTCGAATGTTAGGAGCACAAATCCATGATATTTCTGGTGGATATTTTGGCAAAAGCCTAGCTGAGGTGGATACCCCTTGATTCTCCATTCCTGCCAAAATTCGAACATGTGCACACACACCTACTCTCTGTGGAGGGCTAGACCATGAAGGCCAGGCAGACACTTCTTATTGTCCAAGGCAGAGACGGAGAGGAGAATGCCCCAGTTTCCGCTGCTTCTTCTACTTTTAGAAACATGCCCCAACAAATGATTCAGAGATATGCCCAAAGAGTTATGCCTCAAAACATGTACTATTGGGTTATTTATTACTATGCAAAACACTGCAAACAACAACGACCAGCAGTGGAACACTGATGAAATAAATTACGTTAGAGGCAGAGAATAGCTTTTGAGTCAGGCAATAAAGCTACAAACAATGTGAGAAAATCTGCACAGTGTAGTTTTTAAAAGCAGGTTACAAAATAGTCATTTATATAATAAAAATAGCTTTTTTAACAGTCATGTAGTAAAAATACCAATGTTCATTAGCCATGTTGAGTATTTACTGTGCTCCTGCCACTGTTCTAAGTGCTTTGAAGCATAACCCATTTCTGCTTTTCTTTCCTTTTTTTTCTTTTCTTTTCTTTTTTTTTTTTTTTTAATTCATGATAAAGCCTTTGAGTGCATATGTCAGAGACAAAAAGAGAGATCAAAAAGTGTCCTCCACAGGGATCAGTCATGCCATGATTCCTCCAGGCTTTCCGTCCGCCAGGATCCTGGGCACACAAACACCTGGTGTGTTTTCAGGCTGTCCAGGCCAGGGACTCAACCATGGTCAGAA